CCGCCACCTCCCGCCCAGACATGACCAGGTCGTGCATGCCGGCCTGTTGTGTTCCGAATCCGTTCTCTGCGGGAATTCACCGGGTCTTTGAGGCGTCCGGTAACCCCCCGAGCAGGGGCTTCAGGTGACCGGGTTCTGCCAGCGCAGCCATGGTGGTGCCGTGCTGGCCCTGCTCATGCATCACTTGGACACATGCCGCACAGATCACTAACTCTAATCACTCTTGATTATGCATGATGTAGAAAATGAAACTCAAATTAATAATAATTGTGCAAATAAAAAAGAAGCATGGGAGTTGTCAGTGTAAAATCAGCCCAGCAGATGTTGGCAGCACTTGAATTCAATGAAAGAGCCATTAATTACGTTCATGATAATATCACCACATACTTACAAGTAGTAAATGGTCCCACTGAGCAAAACTGTAGAACATATAGAAAGTATTTCTGTTTGGGTCCAGAAGCAGGCACTGAAATGAACTTAATCAGGGCAAAAACCTTGTCTTTTTGGTCTGTCAAGGCCATGCACAGACTTTGAACTGCTCCTCCTGTTCTGCTCGCAGTGAGCTGCAACTCAGCTGTCCTCTCACCTCACTCCAAGAGTGAGTAAGCTTGGAGAGACTTCGGAAAAAACACTTTGCAGCAGATTGTGTATCTTTAATAAGTTCCTGCACTCTCTTTGTCCCAAAGCAAATACAAATAGATGCTGCAGGTCAAGCATCAGGCTTTCCTGAGCTGCCTGGAGGAATCTGCCCAGCAGTTAGGTCACTACGTTCGCAGATTTTGACCTCAACTTGCAGATGTTCTCAAAACGGAAAATGTGAAAGGTTGGCTGCTGGGGCATCAGAGACGTTTGGCAGAGTTGAGGGTACATGAAGGCAGATGGGTGAGCAGAGGTGTTCAAGCCAGCAGATGTCAGGCTGTTACAAGAAACTATGAAAGGAACCGATGATGGTTTGTGCTGATGGAAGTCAAAATGGGAAAGGTTACAGGTCATCTTCGACTGATGGATAGAAGTAGTGATGATTCGTGAATACACAGTAATTAAGCAGCATAGCTCTTCTGGAGTAGGTTTTGGGTTTGTCATTTGTTTTTTAAATTATTATTTGTATTTCTCAGTGTATTTATTTATTTATAGTAAAAGCCTCCATGAGTGTTCCAGGATAAGATTAAGCCCATGCAGGATGTTACCTTGGAGAACCAACTGATAAACTTTCCAGAACGGATGAATGCTTGGGAATAGTACATACAAAGCAGTAGGGATAAATACTGAAAAACTGACCTTAGGAATTGAAAATAAATTTCTAATGAGGAAAAAAAGCGAACACTGTGGGGGTTGTGGTAAGTGGTATGCGTAGGCTTGCAATATTTGTGGGGTAGTGGAAAGAACTGGGGAGAGTATGTGAGTTAGTGAAAATTGCAAGGGGAGAAGGAGGAGCGCCCGATAAAACTATCTGAAAAACTGTCAATAGCACAACTACAGAGAATTATTTTTTTTCCTGAGAATTAAAAAACAAACCAAAACACTTTCTAACAGGAATCTGTTTAAATTTCAGTCTTATACTGGAAGGGGGAGAGAAGTGTTGGGTGTGGTTTTTTGTTTTATAAAATAAATAAATAAGACTAGTAAGGAATTTTCCTAAGACTCAAAACACCGTGGGACAACGACTCTTTTTTATTCTTGATACAGTTTTACTTCATCAGATATGTTGTGACCCCTCAGCAGATTTATCTGATTTCCTAAATATATGTAAAATATCTCACGTTAAGTATGATTCTATAAAAAGGGCATGGAATTTTTTTTTTACAACTGAAAATAGCATTTCTCCTTCAGCATATACACCTGTAATTTTGGCTTATTTTCTTCCTAAACCAGAAGAATTTTGATGTTTTAGGAATATAGATCTAGTCGTTGTCATATTTCTTTTTATATTAGTAGAACTTTTTTGCTTTTCTGTATTTTTCACCTGCAAACTGACTTTTAGCACTTCCAGTGGGCTCCAGGATCAGTTTTATCATTCTGAACATGTTATTCCTTGTTCCTACAGATTGATCACTTTGGATTTGATGAAAATCTTACATTCCAGCAGCGGTATCTAGTAGCTGATCAGCATTGGAAGAAAGACAATGGACCGATACTGTTTTACACAGGCAATGAAGGAGACATCACGTGGTTCTGCAACAATACAGTGTGTAAAAAATAGATTCTTGAATTACAGTCCTCTTCAGTGCTGATGTATGGAAAAAAATACGGAAGAACAAGGAGCCAGTGTCAGAATACTGTTTAAACAGAAGTTTGTAATGGTTGCTGTGATTGTTACAGGAGGGAGAAGGAGCTGAACAAAATCACAGGGAACGTTTTAGGGTGTTCAGGGTCCTATTTGAAGGCCGTAGGAATCACAGAAATGCACTTGTGTTCATTTCCTTCCTCAAGATAAGAATGCAGAAGTTTGGACCAAATGAACCTATCCTAGTACTTGAGATTCCCAAAGTAAAATGAGAGGCTTTGATGGAATTAGGGTTTTTTTTCCTGTAAGAAAAACATGAAGTGAGAGGAAGGGGGGCAGAAAACAAGACCTGTGGGAGTTTTTGCTTCCCTGCCTAATAGAAATGCAGAATGGAGTGTGTGTGTATTTTTCAGCCACTTCAATACAAAGTCCAGTAACACAACAGGAGGTGGCATGTGCTCAGCTCAGAGCAACCAAGGACTGCTTACACACTTTGTTCTGCCAGCAGGCGATCTCTGTCTGCCTGTTTCCCTAACTGGTGGTAACAAGCTGCTGTCAACAAGTAATAACAAGTTGTAGTTATTTATTAGTTGAAAATAAGTGTATTGCAACGCTCTAGATTATTGCTTGTTGCCAAACGAATTTTGTGTTTTCTGCAATGTAGTCCTAACTCAAATGCATGTTTTTCTCTTGTGACATTTTTTATTTCCTATGGATTAAGCTTGTGCCAGGCAGGATTGCCTATGTGTATTTACCAAGCAATACTGCTTAATATTTTGCAGCATTAAAATATAGATATTTTCTTTGTATGTCTCTCTGTCTCTAAGTGGATCTCTATTCTTTGTGTTTTCTTACTTCAGTGATACTTCAAAACCATATTGCACTGTCTTTCTAGTTGCATTTTGATAGTGATATCTTTCTAGTCAAAAAGTAAGTGTTGGAATACACTAGACTGAAAGAAGAGACTTTGAAAAGATTCAACTTATTTAAATGTCTGTTTTCTTCCATCCAGGGTTTTATGTGGGATGTCGCTGAAGAACTTAATGCCATGTTAGTATTTGCTGAACATAGATACTATGGAGAATCTTTGCCCTTTGGGAATGAGTCTTTCAGTGTAAGTGTCTTCTTTTGTCTGCCTTGAATGTGTTCTGTACAAACATAACTCTGCCTCTTGTAAGTCTTGCCAGTGCAATATCTGTTAGCGTGAGTAAGATTTAAATGTGCCAGAAGCACAAAACCATCCTATTTTTGTAACTGTCAATTCTAGGATTAAAAAAAAAAATCTGATATTTTCTAGCCCTTCAAAGGACACATGCAAAGAATATTTCATTTGTTATCAGGGGCAGATTTAGAACTCTACAGCTGCTCTGGGTAATAGAGGGACTGCTGCTGGGAATCACTTGTCCTGTATAAAACTTTCTGTGTCTCAGGACTCCAAGCATCTGAATTACCTGACATCTGAACAAGCTCTGGCAGACTTTGCAGTACTAATTGAGTACTTAAAGACGACCATTGCAGGAGCCCGTGACAGTCCTGTCATAGCTATAGGAGGATCTTACGGAGGAATGCTTGCAGCCTGGTTGAGGATGAAGTACCCTCATGTGGTAGTTGGGTGAGTGCACTCATCCTGCTCAAACACGGAGCAAGCATTTGTTGCTTCTGCTCTATAAATATTTCAGCACTGGAAGGAATACCATAATTAAAGATGGCTTTAATTTTTCATTATTGGGAGGAGGAATTAAGTTATCTTGAATTTGAGAAGAGGCACTCATAAAGACAGCTGTAGCTCAGCAGGTCCTGGATAGTGTGTATTTTCAGAGCTATCTGTTAGTTTTGTAAAAAAAATTATGAACATTGGCTTCACTCTTAATTTTTTTAGTGTCGCCAGACTTCCAGGTGACTTGACTCTCTTCAGTGCCTTAGTTCCCTTGTGAGAAACAAGAACAGTAATTCCCTTACCTTTGTCTGCTAGAGGGTAGATTTTTGCAAACAGGGTCTCTCTTCTCTTGGGTTTATGCTAAAGCTAGTGAGAAAGACCAAGTTGCTAGATGAGAATAAAAAATAATGAAGTAAGCAAGTCTGAATTTCTGCTCGAAGTGTCCAACACTTACAACCTTCAGTGGGCTTTACGTGCAAACCTAGGGAAGAGTTAGTTTTATGGAATGATTAGTTCATCTAGGGCTTGATGTCCAAGCTGAATTATCAACGCTACATAGATAGTGGCTGCTGGGAGGGTATTGACCAGAGGCCATAAGTTCACTTTCTAAGAGTTCACAATCTTTCTATCCCTTTGCAGAGCTCTGGCAGCCTCTGCCCCAATCTGGCAGTTTGGTGATTTGGTTCCCTGTGGCACTTACTTCAGCATAGTGACCAATGATTTCAAAAAGAGTGGGACAGGCTGCTCAGAAAGCATCCGGAATTCCTGGAACGCCATTAACCGCCTTTCCTCAACAGGTAGGACCTCATCAGCACTCTATAAAAGGGATATAATGTTCAAGATTGTGTTATGATTTCATAAAATCAGTAAGCTTGTATTATGGTGTTCACCTGTGTATGTATTAGATTTTTTGAAACTATTAGTACTGGAAGCTTCCAAAATTTGCAAAAGACACCAAGCTGGGTGGGAGTGTTGATCTGCTTGAGGGTTGGGAGGCTCTGCAGAGGGACCTGGACAAACTTGATCAATGGGCTAAGACAATTTGTGTGAGTTTCAATAAGGCCAAGTGCCGAGTTCTGCACTTTGGCCACGACAACCCCCGGCAGCCCTACAGGCTTGGGGATCAGTGGCTGGAGAGCTGCCAGGCAGAGAGACACCTGGGGATGTTGATAGACAGTCGACTGAACAGGAGCCAGCAGTGTGCCCAGGTGGCCAAGAAGGCCAACGGCATCCTGGGCTGTATCAGAAGTAGTGTGGCCAGCAGGAGTAGGAAAGGGATTGTGCCCCTTTACTGCACCTACACTGGTGAGTCCTGTGTTCAGTTTTGGGCCCCTCGCTCCAAGAATGACATTGAGGTGCTGGAGCGTGTCCAAAGAAGGGCAACAAAGCTGGTGAAGGGTCTGGAGCACAAGTCTTATGAGGGGCAGCTGAGGAAACTGGGGTTGTTTAGCCTGGAGAAGAGGAGGCTGAGGGGAGACTTATTGCTCTCCTCAACAACCTTAAAGGAGGTTTTATTGAGGTGGAAGTTGATCTCTTTGACCAAGTAACAAGCAATAGGACAAGAGGAAATGGCCTCAAGTTGCACCAGGGGAGGTTTAGACTGGATATTAGGAAGAATTTCTTTACTGAAAGAGTTCTCAGGCATTGGAATAGGTTGCCCAGGGCAGTGGTGAAGTCCTCATACCTGGAGGTATTTAAGAGTCATGTAGACACAGTGCTTAGGGATGTGGTTCAGTTAAAGACTTGTCAGGTTAATGATTGGACTTAAAGGTCTTTTCCAATTTGGGCAATTCTGCGGTTCTGTGATCTCCCTCGGTTATGCTCATAGGTGCTGTATTTCCCTTCACATAGAGGCGCTGACTAAAATGTGATCTGCTATGATTTTATGTATGTGAAGTAAGTTTACCAGATTAGTTATGCTTGCTGAAAATATTTTTTAGTGGCAGCACAACTGACCTATGCCATAATAGTACAATACATTAAATGTGATTTTTTTATGTTATTTTTTTTTTTTTATTTAAGATGCAGGTTTACAGTGGCTTTCCAAGACATTTCATTTGTGCAGCCCATTAAAAAATCTTCAGGATGCTGTTGTATTGAAAAATTGGCTGAGTGAAACATGGGTAAACTTGGCTATGGTGAACTATCCCTATGCAGCTGACTTCTTGCAGCCTCTGCCGGCTTGGCCTATACAGGTAATTGAGAATCGATGTCTTATGGAGTTGACCATTTGGTTTAATTCTCTTCTTCTCTCATAGCCTGCACCTTTTGGTCTATTTTTGGCTCCATAGAGCTGACATGGCTGAGAAAAGAGAATGAAAGCACTATCTTCTTGTGCATCAACTGGTTTGTTGACTAACTGCCACTTGTAGGGCTAATACGTTGCGTGGAGAGCCCAGAAGAAAAGTGCCGGAGATGACTGAAAAAACCTCAGCTGTCCTGCAGAGTTTTCTTGAGGAGCAGAAATGCTGCAGAAGAGGCACATGCAATTAGAGGTTCTGATGCCAGACTTGGCTGGCAGAGCTTGTAATTAAAGAGAAAATTTTGAGCCTATATTCTTTCTGATGTGGGAGAACCAGTGAGAGAGGAAATGTAGATCCCCACAAATGTATTCCTTGAAGGGTGGCTTCTCAGGTCAAAACAACTTCTCGCACTTGTGCAATTCTGTTTATCTGCAGTGCTTTCTCCAAGATTTCTATTTTCTTGGAATGTTTGTGTTCCTTTAAGACCCCAGTAACTCATGGCTTTGAGTTACTGTGTATGATAGATAAGGTAGATAAAATATTAGTATTTGTGGCTATTAAGAGTAGTTAAATATAAAATTAAAATTTCTCCTGTATAGAGCTGTGCCGCTGGAGGAGGGGAGAAACATTCAGCTGTTCTATGTGGCTATCTGTAAAGGGCGGTATGAACACCTTGAAAATGATTTCTGCTTTGTTAATAGTCTGATACAACGTAAGAAATTTGCTCACCTTCACCGCTATCCATGCTGCCTCTATTTGACTGAGGTGTAAACCTCGAATAGAAAAGTCTGCGTCTCATCTGGACAATGCTGGGGCATGAAATCTGAGTTATTTAAGCTGTTCAGAAACTTTTTCTGAAACAGAAGCCCAAACCTGACTCTGAGGGTGAGAGAGGAGGGAAAAATATGTTTGAGTAGCTGTGTGTATGTTGCTTAATCTGTTCTCCGTTGTGGGCTGCCAGCAGTTTCCCAGAAATATCCATCTCTTGTCTCTACCATGCAATCTGAGCTTCAGATGCAGTCTGCAGCCCTCTGTCCTGCTGTCTGTCTGCAGCATTTATTTGCAGGAACTGGTGAGTTTTCCAAGCCTCTAATTGCCGAGTTAAGAACTGATGGCAGAGCTAACCAAACCATAAAACCTACCTGGAATGGCAAAATGTGGTAGCTGTGCACTGACATTGTCTATAGGAAACAAGGGAGGCATGAGTTTCCCAGCTTCCACAGTGAAAAAAAGGGAAAAAGATTATATGGGAGAGGGAATCACAGAATCACAGAATGTCAGGGCTTGGAAGGGACCTCTGAAGATCATCTAGTCCAACCCCCCTGCCAGAGCAGGACCACCTACAGTAGGTCACACAGGAACGTGTCCAGGTGGGTTTTGAATGTCTCCAGAGAAGGAGACTCCACAACCTCCCTGGGCAGCCTGTGCCAGGGCTCTGTCACCCTCACAGTGAAAAAGTTTTTCCTAATATTTTGTGGAACCTCCTATGCTCCAGCTTGCACCCATTGCCACTTGTCCTGTCATTGGACGTCACTGAAATAAGCCTGGCTCTGTCTTCCTGACACCCTTATGTATTTATAAACATTAACGAGGTCACCCCACAGTCTCCTCCAAGCTGAGGAGACCCAGCTCCTTCAGCCTTTCCTCATCAGGGAGATGTCCCACTCCCTTCATCATCTTTGTGACTCTGCACTTCTTAGAAGAAGCCCAGTTTGCCCTGGCCCCATGAGTTGTCCCCGTGTGCCTGTGCCCCTGTACTAGACCAGCGCTGACATTGCAGTGTGTCCTTTGCTCCCTGCAGGGTGTAATTTTGGATTTTTCCGATGGACTGTGAGCTCAGATTCACAGCTTTTATCCTTCACTGTTCTTGTCTTAATTCTAGCTCCATGGGAGCAGGGGTAAGGAGAAAGCCTTGTCAAAGAGAATATTGTCACTTTAAGGAAAATATTTTAAGATGAAAAAACTTTCTGGGGCAGTAGCTTTTGTGTTTTCTGTTTGTTTTGGTTTGGTTTTTCTACTACTTTCCACTACAATTAAGATTTCTCTCAATTTTTCACTAGCAAAACAGTGCGTTGTTCCACCACCTGGTATTTTCCAAACACAAAGAAGTAAGAATTTTGCAATCCTACTGTATAAAAGGACTTAAAAATAGTAGAACTTTCCTTACACAGATGTTTCCATTTGTACTGCAGCAAACTGCAGGGAACCCCAGTCTCTACCTGAAGCTTCTTTTTTATACATTTGCATGTGTTATCTTTCATTAGAGGGGAGTTAAACTCTTTATTAAGTATTGTGTTTTTGAAAGAACAGGAAATGGACTGAAAAGTTTGGTGAATGAAATATTAAGGTTGAACTGGTTTTAAAGTTTTAATCAGGAGATGTAAAGTTTCAAGTTCCTATATGAATTGGAATTCTGGTTTTTATGATAATGCGCAGTATATCTTTGCATAGAAAGACACTTTCTGGAAGTGGTCTGACTGTACTTCAGAAAGAAACTGATATCCCGTCAGGTATCATGTATTAATCTTTTTTTTTTACAGATTTAGATCCCTCTTTTCTCTTCATTGCAGGAAGTCTGCAAGTTCTTGAAGGATCCCAGTCTCTCCGACAAACTGTTGCTTCAGAATGTTTTTCAGGCAGTAAATTTATACTACAATTATTCAGGAGAAGCCTCATGCTTAGACATGTCTGAGACTGCAACAAAGAATCTGGGTCAGTTGGGTTGGTACTACCAGGTATGTGCACTATCATTGCGTTAAAACTCAGTCAGGTTTTTTGAGCGAGAGCTGGTAAAAATTGTCAAGTCATTTGACTGTCAATATATTGCACTAGCTATGATTGATGTACTGATGACAAAGGTGAGCAGGAAGCAAGTATGATTGTAGCGGGGAGGGGAAGTTACAAAAGAGAAACAGCTTTCCTGGGAGGTTCAGGTCGTGTCTTCATTATCTAGCTAATTGTTGAGTTTCGACTCTTGGTATTGCCTGAAAATGATGTACAGCGGGAGAATCTTGGTCTTCGGATCCCCCTGTCCTCTGAGAAAGGGCGGAAATGCAATATGGTTTTCTTTTTTAGCTAGTATCACTAAGATGTCAGAGAAGAGTTTATGTGAAAGATAAAAGTTTTGCTTGGTATCTGTGTTCTGGCTAACCTCAAAGAAGGGCCAGAAGGAGGATCTGGGGAACTACAGGCCCATCAGTCTGACCTCAGTGCTGGGGAAGGTCATGGAGCACATCATCTTGAGTGCCATCATGTGGCACGTACATGACAACCAGGTGACTGAGCCCAGTCAGCATGGGTTTATGAAAGGCAGGTCCTGCTTGACCAACCTGATCTCTTTCCATAATGAGGACCAGGGAAGGGATTTTCCCTGTTCTTGGCACTGGTGAGGCCACACCTGGAATCCTGTGTTCAGTTTTGGGCCCCTCACTCCCAAGAAGGACGTTGAGGTGCTGGAGCATGTCCAAAGAAGGGCAACAAAGCTGGTGAAGGGTCTGGAGAACCTGTCTTATGGCGAGGGGCTGAGGGAACTGGGATTGTTTAGCCTGGAGAAAAGGCGGCTGAGGGGAGACCTTCTTGCTTTCTGCAATAACCTAAAAGGAGGTTGTAGAAGAAGTTCTTCACCACGAGGGTGGTGAGACACTGGAACAGGTTGCCCAGAGAGGTGGTGGAAGCCTCATCCCTGGAAGTTTTTAAGACCAGGTTGGATAGGGCTCTGAGCAGCCTGATCTAGTGGGGGATGTCCCTGCCCATGGCAGGGGGGTTGGAACTAGATGATCTTTAAGGTCCCTTCCAACCCTGATAATTCTGTGATTCTATGATATGTAGCAAGGTGGATGTTGGTCTCTTCTCTGAAGTAACAAGCGATAGGACAAGAGGAACTGGGCACAGATTGCGCCAGGGGAGATTTAAGTTGGACATTAGGAAAATTTTTTCACTGGAAGGGTTGTCAAGCAGTGGAACTGGCTGGCCCGGGGAGGGGGGGGGGGAGCACCCCTCGGGTGGAGTCACCATCCCTGGCGGTATTTAACAGACGTGTAGATGTGGTGCTGAGAGACATGGTTTAGTGGTGGACTCGCTAGTGTTAGGTTTATGGTTGGACTTGATTTTAAGGTCTTTTCCAACTTAGATGGTTTTCTAATAGTTGGATGGCAATTATTGATCAATTTCTGTTTCAAGTTTATTTATTTAAATATTGCACTAATGGCTATTGGACAATATCCTGGGAATGCATCTTGTTGCCCTGCTCTTTCTTTCAGGCTTGCACCGAGATGGTGATGCCCCTGTGCACAGATGGCGTCAATGACATGTTTGAGCCGCAGAAATGGGACTTTGATGCACTTTCAGAAGAGTGTTACAGGCTGTGGGGAGTGAGGCCTCGTCCCTCTTGGATTCTTTCTGTGTATGGAGGGAAAAACATCAGTTCACACAGCAACATTATTTTCAGGTGAGCCTTGCTTCAGCTTCTAGAGTGGAGTCTTCCACCAGTTTGGGTTAGTGCCTACCCTACGTAGCAAAAGGATCTGTCTCCAGCACTCCAGCTGAATTAACCAATGGGCATCCTATGTGTTCTTCTTGAGAGTAAAATGATCAAGCTGCAGTGGCCAAAGGAGCCAACTGTGTGACTGTAAAAGAAGAATCTGGATTGGGCTTCTGCCAAATGTAGTTTTCTTCCCATGTGGATTCCTTCGTATCTTGTGGTCAAAGTCTAGGTTTCCCATGCTGGTAAATCCGTTTCACTTCTGTGAAGCCAAAGCACTGTCCTGTCTCTTCGACGTAAAAGGAAAGTCTAAGCATGCTCTAGCTATAACACAGGATCTTGGTCACTCAAATTGTTGCTTTGGGTGATAGCCTTGCAGAGGGGCTGGCATGACATGCCTTTTCCTCTTTGATATAGAAAAGAGAGGGAAGTAACTTGGGGAGCTTTCCTATTACTGCCAATTGCCCCTTTTTCTCAGTGGTAGTTAGACAAGTTTCAACAAACTTGTGTGAGATCCAGATACGAAGAGATGTTTCCATTTCAGCAAGGCATATCAGTAACACAACAGAAGTTTGTCTGAAACACCCTTGTATGTGAACAAAAAGTGACAGAAATGTTTTGTGCCTAGTGCAAAAAACTAGTGCATGCTGCTTGCTGCCTGCTCAGCCTTCACTTTCCCTATATTTGAGGTTAAACTCAGCTTTCTTTAAAGGGAGGTTCATGAGGCTGTATTTCAGCTGCAGGCAACACAAAATTTTGAAGAGCTACGTACTGGCCGTTCATCAGGTTGTTACGTGCTGGGGAGGTGCTTTAATAAACCAGGAGTTTTGAGTTCCTGTACTGATTGCCCACTGTGGGTGGCACCTGGGTAGATACTTCTCTGTGCTCTGGGTAAAATTGTGCAAGGCCTTTTCAAAAAAGCCCCACTGCTTCTTTAAAAAAAACCTCAGAATTAGACTGTTTGACTTGGTACAGAGTTGTGTGTTTTGAAAGCAGACAGTCCTCACTTGAACTGGGGATTATTCTCTGGATTTTAGCTGTTAGCATTGGTTCGTTTGACTCCAAAGGCCTGTTGCTTTCCTCTTGTTTGTCTCTTGCTGACCCCACCTCGAATACTGCATCCAGTTCTGGTGCCCCCACCATAAGAGGGACGTGTTCAGAGCGTGTTCAGAGGAGGCCACAAAGATGATCCAGTGGCTGGAGCACCTCTGCTATGAGGACAGGCTGCGGGAGCTGGGATTGTTCAGTCTTGAAAAGAGAAGACTTTGGGGGGACCTAGTAGCTGCCTTCCAATACCTGAAGGGAACCTACAGGAAGGCTGGGGAGGGACTTTTTACAAGAGTGTCCGCTGATAGGACAAGGGGAAATGGGTTTAAGTTGAAGGAGAATAGATTTAGATTGGATCTTAGAAAGAAATTCTTCAGTACGAGGGTGGCAAGACTTCGGAATAAATTGCCCAGAGATGTTGTGGCTGCCCCCTCCCTGGAGGTGTTCAAGGCCAGGTTGGATGGAGCCTTGAGTAGCCTGATCTAGTTGAGAGGCGTCCCTGCCCATGACAGGTAGGTTGGATTAAATGATCTCTAAGGTCCCTTCCAGCCTAGGCCATTCTATGATTCTATGATTCTGTGATTCTATGAATATCTGCTCTAGAGTGAGAAATTCCACCATTTTTTGGAAAACGTGTTTTTTCTTTTTAAAATAATTGTTGGTTTAACTTAATTTCTGAGGGGTGTTGTTTATTTCCAAGGCTTCACAGCTCTGCACTAGAAATCTGCTTTGTAAGCGATAGACAAGCAAACATACCTAAATAACTATTTAAGAATTTATGCCAGCTGAAGGAGCTTGAAATGAAAAAAGCTTGAAAGTATCCAGATGACTGAAGAAGTAGTGCTGTACACACAAAGCTTTGGATCTCGAGCTGGGTTGTTCCCCTTCAGGCAAATACATTGTCAACACTATACCTTTTATATAAGAGCCTTTTATCCTCAAACACTGCAGAGTGTTTTACAAAAAAATATCCTTACATTTACCAGGGCATGTGGCTCCCCGTGGGGTAAAAAGCACCATGTTCAAATGTTGGGCAACTTGCACAACAGGAAAGGAGGAATCCTCTGTCTGAAGAGAACCACCGTGGGGTGGATTTATCCAGGCACTGTGGGATCTGACCAGGATGCTTAAACTGGTGTTGCTGCTTCTCCTTCTGCGAGCAGTGCCTCGCTCTGCAGATTCACTAGCTTGAGGAACTTGAGGTTTTCAGACCCGCCTTTGCTTTTTTCCCTTCCTTGTTCTGGGCAGGGCTGGAGGGCTGAGGAGGCTCTGAAGAGATGGTAAGAAAGGAAACTGCTGTGGGATAGGCAGGACCCTATGTATGCTGTCAAGGAAATATGAGGAATGGAAAACAGGACGAATGTCCTGATATTTTGAATTAGGTTTTTTCCTGAAGTCCTGCTTGCCTGGCCACTGCTAGGAAGGAATGGCTGACTCCTTTATTCTTTTTTTCTTTTATTTCTTCTGTTTACATAGGACGACTCTTGTCCTGTAAGATGGGCAGCTGTGCACTTACACGCCTGCTTAGCTTTAACACATAAATAATCCATTCCAGTTCATACTGAATCCTCTTACTCCTCTCAGCAAGTCCCACTTCCCAAACAGCATCAGTGCCTCTGGTGCCATCGTTTGGCCAGGGCCACAGAGGATGCAGCCAGAAGCTCCCAGAAAAGCCAGAGACAGTGATTTTTTTTAGCTCGTAGCATGCTTAGTTTCCACATGACCGGGACCAAAAGACCCAAGTTCATGTGCATCTTGGGTGTCTCAGCAACTCATCCCCCTGTTGCCAGGGTGCTCTGCTGATTCAGGCAACCTTTGAAATCAAATGTGTTTTGCTTATTGGTCAGCTCTGTGTGCTTTTTTTTTGTTTTGCAGATAGAAAATGTTTCTCTTCTCCCAAGTCATAGTTAGTAACTTCTGAAAATAAAGAACTGCAGAGATTCAAGATACTTGCTTTTTTTCAGTGGAGAAACAAATAATTAGATCAGACCCTATCAGGTTTTTCCTCTTAGTTATTCCTTCAAAAGACTTTTTAACTCATTATTTTTTTCTGTTATTTTCTGGTGCTGCCATTGTGTGGATACCCTACATTTTACAGTTAGCTGTGCCAGCAGCGCTGCATTGCAGAATTAAGACTTTCATCCTTGAGCTCTTTCTAAACAAGTACATAACTCTTGCTTGCTGATAATGAAAAGAGACCGTGACCAGCCGAGTACAGCTCATGTTGGGAGTTTGCTCATGAGAATGGACAGATAAGACACTTCTTGTACACAAGATGTGCATGGGACTGAACGGGAGAGTGTGATCAAAACAGACCTAGGAAAGTCTGTTCTCCCTGTGTGATTGAAGGAGTACATGAGCTAATAACAACCTTGGCTGCATAGCCAGGTCTCCTGTTTGTAACCCCTAAATACTGCTTCTTGCTAATAAGTATAAATATGTGCCTGCTTGCAATAAAGCTATATAAAACAAGTGATAGGATGAGAGGAAATAGCCTCAAATTGCACCAGGGGAGGTTTAGACTGGATATTAGGAAACATTTCTTCTGAAAGGATTGTCAAGCTTGGAACAGGCTGCCCAGGCAAGTAGTAGAGTCGCCATCCCTGGGGGTATTTAAAAGCTGTGTAGATGAGGTGCTTATGGACATGGTTCAGTGGTGGACTTGGTGTTGCCAGGTTAATGGTTGGACTTGGTGATCTTAAAGGTCTTTTCCAACCTAAACAATTCTTTAATTCTATGAAAACTAGTTGAAGGTCAGTGTGTATTTGTACCCTAATTCCCTACAGCAATGGTGGCCTGGACCCATGGTCTGCAGGTGGGGTGACTCAGAACATCACCAATTCCATCGTGGCAATTGTGATCCCAGAGGGAGCCCACCACCTTGACCTCCGCAGCCGCAACAATTTGGACCCCAAATCCGTGCAGCGAGCTCGAGCCTTGGAAATCTGCTACATGAAGCAGTGGATTGAAAAGGCCAGGCACAACCACTGAAGGGTACTGCAGCAACTGTGGCCGTTACAGCTCCGTTGGCCTTGCCAGGAGAAGGGCCAGGCTTCATTACACGGTCATTCGAACATTTCACTCCTGCTTCCTCACCTGTGTTGCAGTGCTCACCATTGCTTGTGCTCATGAGGGGAGCAGGCAGCAGATCAGCAGAGAGCATTTGCAGATAAGAAACTTCAAAGAGCTGCCTGCTCTGATTTGCTTTCCTCTTTTGCTCTTCTCAGTTGCTGGGCGTCACCATAAAGTAAAGAGTTCTTGTCCTAGGCTTGATGCCTTCCTCGCTGTGCTATGGGATTGTCCTGCCCGCTGGTATATCCAGTGGATTAAATGGCAGTGCTTTGATGAAACTCCTCCTGCCTTCGGTGGGGTTCAATTTCAGACATCCTCAGTTGGTGTAAACTGCCATGGCAGAGTCCTGGACATAACGGGGGAACAGAAATCGCATCTTACCGTGAGGTTTTGTGGAGAAGGCATGGGGAAAATGTATCTGCCACTTGTAGAGAAACTAAACTTTGGAATCAGTTCTGGAAAAGAAGAAATTTTTTTTTCTTTTCTCCCTTAGTTTTCTTACAGCTTATTAATCAAAGCTGCCTCAGGTGGCTTTTCCGTTCTGTGCTTTCCTGAATGGTCGGGGCTGGGCCCGGACTCGCTCTGCCGACAACTGGCTGAGCCTGCACAATCTGCCTCAGGGTTTTATTTCTTCTTTCGGTATTTGTCCCCATCCTGAAATACCTGCCACTGTGATTACGGTTGCCAAAGAAAACTCTAGGCATATTTTGTGTGTGTGTGTGTATGCGTGTGTCCCCGACAAATACTCAGCTTTTCCAAACCAGGAAGCTTTCAGAGCTATTCTCTCGAAGATCAAATGTGACACTTGCGCTGGCTCGATCTTATGAAGTGACAAATAATTGGGGCTGTGCCTTGTGTGGCTTCCTCCCTCCCCCCCATTCTGTGCATTGTTCCAATTCTGCATGATCTGTTTGCTGATGGCTCTTCAATAAAAGCCTTTTTAAAAAAAAATTGTTTGCGGGACAAACTATTCAAACCACAGAATGCAGCTCTCCTCTTAGATCAGGCTAAAGCCCGATGCTGAGCTCAACAAGCCAGGTGCACTGCGCTTTCTGTAAGGCTTCCAAAACAGACAAACTGCCCTGATTCATGAGACAGCATATTTGACGTTAATAAATGGCTGGGGCAGTCCCCTCGTTTTCCAGCTTTGGCTTCATTCACACTGAAGCCCTTCTTCAGAAAGGATTCTTTGCAGTTTAAAGGACAACTCCATTTCAGAAAGGCTCGGGCAAGGCTTCTTGTCCCGCAGACCCTTAAAATTCCAATTCTGTTGAAAAGTTTTCTCAGCTTTGATGATTTGCCTGATAACTGACTGTTTTACTAAGACACCAGGTGGTCTTTTCTGTTTCTAGTCTCCTCCCATCCTCTGGGAACAAAGCGAACTGGACACTGAAATCTCATCTTTTAAAACACTCCTGTGCATCTTCTTTCCAACTGAGCTCCCAGCATTCCCTCCTCTGTGTTAAATGTGGCATTTATGTTCAGACTCTGCAATCTGAACCTCTCGTGCTCCTGAGCAAGGTAATTACTTAAGAAACCGTAGAGAAGAAGACCAAAGAAGAACCAGAGGGGAAAAAAGGAAAAGCTACAGAGAACTTGCCTGAAACCTGCTGGCAATCCCTTTTCCAGTAGTTCTGTTTTTCAGTGCTCTCTTGTAAATATACCTCTATATCTTGCCCGTGTACTTTATAAGGACATGATGGCCTTGAATTTTTTGAAACAAAAAAGAGATTGTTTTCTAATCAAGTGTGTTGCACTCAAGTTTTTAGAAATACCATTGGAGCTTTTTACGTGTTAACTGACATATGATAATACCCTGCTTTACTGCAAGGCAAGGAGTGGGGTCCATGGGACTAAATATAAATTTGAGGGTCGTGAATTGTTTGCAACCACAAGCAAAAGCCAAGTCCAACTGCTCTTACTGATTGCTCAGGGGGCTGCTCCCAGTGCAAATTCTAGGAAAGACACTTCCATGTTGGATGGAGAAGGTCATCGGGATATTCATGTGATGGGCTGTGAATGGTCCAAATTAACAGCCGCTGTATATAGTGAAGTGTAGTAACCAGCTTGTTTCTCCTCTCTCTCTCCTCTGCTTGCGAACTTACTGTCTCAGGTAACAGCTTCTCCTTTGTTGTTTGGAAAATGTTTTGTAGTTCCAATCAGAATAGATAATCTAAACTTCCAGGTTTCTTTCCCCCACCTCCTTTCATAAGCAGGAAAAAAAATTTTCTTTAATGAAACTTAAAAAAACCTCAACAACCCACATTTGAGAAATTTCATTTAAAAATAAATCATTCAGTGTTACATGGGTTGTGGTTTGTGGGTTGTCAGGATATTTTTATTGTTTTGTTTTGTTTTATTTTGTTTTCCATTTTTTATTATTTTACTGTTCCATTCAATTTTAGTCTGTGAGACACTGATTCTCATGCACGTTGGATCAGGTTCTTAGTACTTGGATGAGCTTATGAATCAGGTGACTGGCTTCCTGTTATTTTTAATTGTTCTCCCTTTTTACTGTTTCCCCTCTACAGCTGAGTAGTTGAAACTTTAGGTCTTACTTACCTTAAGCATTCAGACTTCACCTTAAAATCTGTGTACACATTTCTGTAGGCTGCCGAGGGACCATTTGAGGGACCGTTTGTGGTGTTTGGCTGCCTAATCTAAATGTTAGCTCTCCTGATTGTTTCATGCAGGTGAGAACAGAATGGCAAATGGCTGATTTCTCTTTACAGGTATACGATAGAATCATTGAATCATTAAGGTTGAAAAAGACCTCCAGGATCATCTCGTCCAACTGTCAACCTGACATTACCCTGACCACTAAAGTATATCCTGTCTGCATGTTTTCTGAACACCTCCAGGGATGGCAACTCCACCACTTGCCTGGGCAGCCTGTTCCAATGCCTCACCACTCTTTCAGTAATTAAATTTTTTCTAATATCTAATCTAAACCTTCCCTGGTACAAATTGAGGCCATTTCCTTTTGTACTGTCACTAGTAACTTGGAAGGAGAGACCAATGATGATGAGCCATACTTTATCTCAGGTTTATGTTTGTCCTCGGCACGTGTCACGAATGACTAGAATCAAAAAATGTATGTTTCCTACTCATTAAGGAAAACCCAGAAGGAAAAAGAGTGAATGATTTGCCCAAAGCACAAATCTTCCTGGTGGAACTGCAGTTTGCATCAATAAAAATGCATTACAATAACGAATTGTGAGTTTCTGGAACTGAATTTAGTTTCGCAAAGACACGTATTTTTATCCTTTGGCAGACTGAGATTTCTGGAAATGATGTTGTCTTGTTTGTGCTTGACTCGGGTGGAGTGGGAGGAAAACTAGTTAAGGTAACCCTCAGGTGACGCGCCCAGGAGTCAGAGTGTTGGATAATGAGTCTCTGCACTCACTTGGTAGTTTCTCCCTTCAGAGATTTGGCTGCCTGGTGGGGAGCGGGTGTGGGAAATGGCTGTTCTCCAGAGGTGACCATGCTGAATGCAATCAAGCTAGCGATAATGAGAAAAAAATCTATTTTGGTTTTGAAAATTTATTGCAGTCCCAAACAAATGTGCTCTTCCTACGTGTCAGTGATGATGAAGTTTGTGTGGATGAATCCGTAACACTCCCTGACCGGGCAAGGGGAGGTTTTAACTGGGCTGTGTAGCCCGAAGAGTTAATCAGGCAGGGCTAAGGCTGCAGCGAACTAAATAGCTTCTGTAACTTATGTTCGTAGGTAGTTTTAACTTTGAAGATCATCAAATATTGCATCGTCAAAGGAGACCATGGAAAGGAAATCCTTCCACAGGAACCTGGACCGTGCTTTCTAAAAAAGGAAAAGCGTACACAAAGTGGGAATCAAATTTTGTCTCCCATGCTGTCTGCCCGCCAAATATGTTGCAGACAAATGCTTGTATTCTTTAAATAAAGGGATTTTTTTTTTCCTACCTCTGCTCTTAAAAAGGGTGTTTAGCTGTTTGTGAATCTAATCTCTAAGGAGGGAGAAAGAATCATGAATGACCTAAAGAGCTTTCTGTATGTTAAAGATTTTGCACATTGGCACTCAGATATTTTAGCTCCTTCCAGGACCAGTGGTGGAATCATTGTGTAATTCTGGCAGTCAGCTGCTGTGAAACCCATAAACTTAGGTTTGAAAGGATCTAGGTGATCGTATACTCCAAGCTTATGTATTTTGCTCTGCCCTGTTGATTCAGGAGGTCATCACTGGGCTGTAGCTGGGGACATGCATGTACTTAGAGCAAAAACTGAAAGATTTTTATGGTAGTTTGAGTTAATGTGTCTGAAACTACCCAGACTTGTGACTCAATGATACTTGCACTCAAAGCCTTGACCAGCTTGAAGGAATGCCCTAAAAGATCACTGTGGGGACGGATTTGTGCTACTGGAATAATAGAAAACATCCTCAGAGCTGAGCGACACGTTTGTCTCTTCTCTCTGAAATATGCTGCTGCTCTTTAAAATAGAGATCTTTCTGAAGTGGGAACCGTGCATATACGATTTTTTACTCCATAGGAACAATTTATAAACAGTCCTTTGGAGGGGTTGGTTTGAATCCTGTTACACTTCTGTCTCTGTCATTTGCTGTGACAGTGCCATTGCTCTTGATGTTTAGCACATTACTAGGTGTCACTACTGTAGCCTCTAGTGTTTTTAAAATCTAGCCTCTGTGTGTTTCTAAACCAAAGCCTTGGTCTTACAAACAACCTTTACAAATCCAACTTCTTTAAGACCATCCATGCTAAAAAGCTAAAATGGTCTGATTTGTCAGTGCGAGTTGGCAGAAAATGTGTGTTGCCTTGTGTTAACCTGAGCGGTGGAGCAATGGCAAAAGATCTGAACTGAGGATGACATCTGGGATAAATTCACAGTGCTGGAGTGGTCTTTAAATTTCCTCACCTATTGTTA